AAGTTCTTTCATGTTTGACTCTTAAACTCTTGATCTTGTTCTTCTTCATGAGCCCGATTTGATAGTCTTGATTTTGATCTTTTAAGCTCTTATCTCTAATGATTTGACTTGAATGCTTAACTTTCACTTTGATATTCATTTCAAGTCCGATTTATGATGTGTTGATTTTGGCAATACTCGATAGATTTTAATATTGAACTATCATAACTCAAAATCAATTATTAGAAACAATATTAATCGTGTTTGTTATAATCAAAATATTGAGGATGAAATCAACCATATGTCAACACCTACAACTGTGACATATGCCCATGTTCCATGCTATCACACTTGAAAAAGGGGAAGGTGTGCAATGTAATTAGCAAACTAATAACATCCGCATCATCACACAACTCTAATGATATGTAGCAGTAAGATCTTAATCTAAGAAAAAACTAATTAAAAGCTAAAAATGCACAAATAGACTAACTGATGTGTGAAGAGGCCACTAGATGGTTGAATTCTTGGCTTCTTTGAACAGATGTTATAAGAAAGGTTATCGTCGTGTTTATAAAATTGAAAAATCAACAATTTTTGGGTAGTCTTGGAGAGAAATGAAAAGGGAAAGGTAAAGGAAAAGTGAAGGTGCTTCAGGTCTAGCAATCGAGATCAAAATGCGATTCAGGGACGGGTCCACAAACAAAAATCAATTCACACCATGTATGTTGCTTGGAAGTTGAATTGGAGGAGATGAAGTCGATTCTAGGGTTCCTGCGAGTGTGATTTAGGGGAAATGGTTTTCCCTTGAAATCGATTTCTAGGGCTCGAAGGATTAGGGGTGATGGAGAGAGTAAATTGATTTCGATTTCACAAGATCGTGTTTTTAACTTGAAATCGCGTCCACCGTGGTCGTCGTTGACGTCGTCTGTTGCCAAGTGGAGTTCCGTCAAGCCACGTGGGGCATCTTCAAACGACTGGGTTGCTGAGTGATGGATGGAGTGACGGGTATGTAAGTTCGGTGACCATTCAGCAGAAATGACTATAACCTGACGGTATGATAAGTTCAATGACTAATGAAACTTTTTACTCAACAATATCTAAAAGTATGACAAACAATAAAAGCCTTAGTTTATCAAATATATTTGAATAATTTGACTTTTAAAAAAAATTATTAAAAAATATATTATTGTCTCACTTTAATGAATAGAGGTAATACAATGAATTATCAAAAAAATTATTTTTTTTAAAAAAAATCGAGTAAATGGGGTAAGGGCCCCTACTTGATCCGACTTGACTTAAACGGATAACGGGGCGGGAAATCATTCGACTGGGCGAGGGACTAGGGAAGTTGTCTTGACATCGACCCGTCCCGTTGTCCTTCCTAGTTGTGAGTTTCATAAAAACGAATTTTAAAAAATTAAGTCAAACAGGACTTGATGTATCAGGTAGCTCCATTGGAGTTGAAATCACAATTTGGGTAACGAGGTTAAATGAAAGATATAATTAAATATATTATTTAATTTTACTTATTATTATTTAATGTCTTAATATAGATTATCGCAATCTAATTACGCTGAATAGCATTACTATTGTATCAGTGGCTACGGCTTCCAATGGCGTCCATTCATCAAGGACAATACTGGCCCCACAAAACATTAATCAGCGGCCAGTAATTCTCCCATGTTGGATAGCCGTATAAGTCAAAAAAGAAAAAAAAAAACATGTACTGTTCCTCAATCCTTACCTATCAATCCACCATTGACAACCCCTTTATTTCTTTCTTGAGTTCTCTCCCACAGGTGTACTCTAAAACCCCACCGCGTGTGGTTGGTCCTTTTGATATGAATCATATGGTACGGCGACTGAATGAATGGAATGAACAAAACAACCCAAAACAAGTGGTGCAAAGAGAGAGAGGGGAAAAGTGGTCTCATAAAGTTTTCTATCTTTAAACACTGCAACTAGCAATTGATTAAAAGCTAGGTTCTTGAGGCGTCCAACGCTGAAAGTACCACTTTCAGTTCGATTTATTTGTTAAGCATGCCACCAGCATTAATCCGTCCATATCCACGATCAAATCCTCTATCTATTTATAGTTGCGTTACTTATAACTTCCTTGTTCATAAACTGCAGCATGAAAAGGATGATTATTAGAGCTACCAGCCTTGGAATGGTGATGGCGAGAAGGATAGATGCTACAGCTTTCTTGATTACTGTTTGTGTTTTGGGTTTGTGGGTGTGGGTGTGGGTGTGGGTGTGGGTGTGGCTTGGTGACTTCACAGACAAACAGTTACCGAAAAACCCTAATTACCTATTTCTGTGATTTAAACCCTAATGATCTCTTTCCGTGATTTTCTTAAGAGGGTACAAAGGGGGTTTTGAACGTTCTTTCCAAAAATAGGTTTGTCTTTAGTTTACAGATCTCTCTCTTGTAGGCTCTGGCCTTTAATGTTTATGACAAGGCAAATCTATGATACTGCTGGATAAAGATACTTTGGTCAAGGGTGTAGTCATGGTGTCAAGTGTGTCTCTGTGCGTGAGAGAGAGAGAGAGAGAGAGAATCAGACTGACAGAAGAGAGTGAGCATAAGCAGGCAATTGTATGGAGCGTATACCTTTGTGGATGCGTGTGCTCACTTCTCTTTCTGTCAGCTTAATTCCCTCTCTTCCTTTCTCGATTATGGCTTTAGCCGACGTGTGCGTGCACCTGGCAGACACCCTCATACTCTACTTATAAAGACCTAAAATTGCTTTCTTCATTGAAAACTGTAAAGTAAAGCAAGATGAACAGAAGGGAAGGGCTGCAATTTCAAGAAGATGGACTCATAAAGAATCTCGAGAGAGAGAGCCACTTAAAAAATGACTTTTCAAATCTATTCACACCACCACAGCCACACATATGCAGCAGCAGCCATAAAGGCTCCTACCAGCCCACACTCCACTGTCCATCCCATTATCCTATCCCAATAGGTCACCTATACACATAAACACTCGATTTTCTGTTTATTTACTTTCTTGATGAACAAAATGATTAATTTCTTCCAGCAGGATAAGTTCAACTTCAAAGCCACTTTTGTTTTTGTCATTTTCTTGATGTGATTTTGTTTATCCACTTAATTTTTTAGCATTTCTTTGATCTTATCCATTATTACAGTGTGATGGAGATTGGAAGCTCGAATTTTGATGTCTCGTTTGAAGAGAACGAAGTGGGTTTGGAAAGGACCGTAAGGTACTATTTTTATTTAACGGAAAAACTTTGTTTTCTTGGGGCCATCAGGCGATTAAAATATATTTAACCTAATATCATTCTGTTTATCTTGCCATTTTTTCCACTCTCTGTAACAAAAAAATACAGTGATTTTGCTGAAATCTTTCCTATTCTCTCAGCGTCGACTAAACGCTAGTTCCGACCAGCGGGACCTTTTTCCTTTGTAACTAGGAAAGAAAGGGTCGTGATCTCGTGAATTACTTCTGAAGAAATTAGGAATCATCAAATTTTGTTTCTAACTGCAAAAATTTGAGTTTATTTCTTCGTCGTCTGATGTAAAAGTATGTGGTTCATTCTATCCTATTTCTGGCAGAAAAAAATGATTCCTTTATTTATATTTTATGTGATATTCTTAATTTTTTAGACAATTAATGCAGTTTCAATTTTATTTCTAGATCTTGAACATGGTTTGGTAATGTTTACTTTCTATTGAGTGCAAGGAACTTCGGGCTCTACTTGAATATGGGAGGCTTTTGGTTTTCTTCAGTGGGCAGATACCCAGAAAATCATAGGCATATGGAGAAGAAAGGGAATTTTCCATGTACAGGTTTGGGATTTGCATCAGTACTATCTTTATAATGATTCATATTTATCCCTTTTTTATAATTGTCGATTGCTTGTTAATAATGCTATAAAAGCACACGATTATGTAATTTCTGTGACAACAGTTACTACTACTTGCCACAAGAAATTTTAGCTTCTGTTGCAGAAACTTGATCTAGTTTAGTTTTCATGTCATTGTATATTCTCAGATTCTTGTGATATTTAGCTATGAGACTTAACTTAATTAGGATATTCGAATGTATAATTACCTCATATATTTCCTTCTATAATCATTAGGCTGATAGGTCATTTTCCACGTTATTTTGGTAATTTTCCATTTTTCATAGAGATTTTAAGCATAAAAAGACGTAGTTTTTTCAATTTAGATAGATTATTGAATTGAATTAGGTATACAATTGAATGTCGAGAACATTCTCTTTCAAATTTCCCTTGTGTCTCTCTTTTCCTCCCATTTCCTATCATCTTCTTGTGTTCTATATAGTGCCCCATCAGCGTTACATCTCGAAAGAAGTTTCTATATTAAACGCATAATTGAGTTCGTCTATCTACTTTGGGATTATAGATTCATGCTTGCTTTCATGAACCCTTTTGGATGCCTGATACTTAATTGAACACGCATTTGCAAGATTCGGTCTGCAGATTGCATAGTTTTTGTGAAATAGCAGTAATACTTAGTAGTACTGTTGGATAAAATTGATACTCAAGAAGTTATATTCAGCAGTTATATTTATGTACCATCTATATTGGACCTAAACCAATATATTAACAAAAGCAATAAGGCAAAGGCAAGCACCTAGGGAAGGAGCCAGAAAGATATGTTAGGACGGACGGAAATTTAATTTTTAGCTAAATAACCATCTATGATTTAGGATAGGAGGGGACCGGGGGGGGGGGGGCTGGTAGGGGGGGGGNAGCAATAAGGCAAAGGCAAGCACCCAGGGATGAAGCCAGAAAGATATGTTAGGACGGACGGAAATTTAATTTTTTTTTCAATGAACTCATACCATAAAAGATACTGTATACCACTCGAGATTTAGTTTATAAGGTTAAAGTCATAACACTCATAATAATGTGGGTCAGAATATATTTTGGGACACTCATAACAAATTATGTTCTAACAAATATATTTTTAACTAATAAAATTAAATATAGAACATATTACTTATTTTGATGATAACATCCATTTCATGGTCGAAATAAATAAATTCTTAACTCACAAGTATAAAAAGTAATATATGAAAAAATACATTAAAGAATTTTTAATTACTTTTAAGCTTAGTCAAACATGTGGCATTTCATACTATTCAAATAGGTCATTTATCTTCAATTATTAAACAAATATTTATTATATAATAAACTAATTTGATTGTAAGTGAACTATTTAAACGTAATTATATATGTGTGTGCGAAATAAAATACCTAATTTGGTAACGAGTGATTTGTATATCATGAATATGAATATGAATAAAATAAATATATAATTGTTGTAGAGTCTTAAACTAAACTTGAATAATTGAACATTGGGCTTGGGTTGGGAATAAAGTAGTTTCGGCTAAACTTAATTTTTGGGCTGGGCTAAATTTTTTTTTTTTACCAAGAATTTGGACTAAGTCTTCCAATTTTTAAAAGGGAAAATTAGACCCTATACCCTCTTTTTAACAGTGTTGATTAATACCCTTAAACTAATTAAACATTTTAAGGAAGTATTAAATACGTCATAAATCACCTAATTAACTACAACCAAAACCCAACCTGATTAACTACAACAAGCCCAAACCACGTCATCCCCCTTCATCCTCGAAAACGTTTCCTCTCCCATTCGTAGCCCCAAATCTTCATGGGATATTTGTTTGATGTGCTGACGATTCAAAGCCAAGCCCTAACCTCGAAATCAATTTCGAACCTCCATCAACGGCCTCCCAAAATCTGACTTATGAGTTAAAAGTTTTTTGATTGCATTAGAGAAGGTGTGCACATGGTTGTCGGAAATGAAGCATTGCAGGGCGACTTTGAATCTTTTCTCTCAGCGGCTCAACCTCTCACAATCGTACTCTTGTCTCTCTGAGCCCTTGATGTGGCGACACCAACGACGTCATCCTTCCATTGACAATAGACACCATCGGTAGCACAACAACGATTTGTTTTTGGAAGAAGAAAGAAGGTGAACCATTGAACCGTGAACTGATAATTCAATTTTTGTCTAGATTCTGAGAATTTAGTGCGCAATCACGACCATCTGGTGAAAATGGGAACTGTTAAACTGAAACTTCAGTCTCCGAATGTTGATGGAATAACTGCAGATCCACAGCCAGATTGGAGCTTTGATAACTTATTATCAGAGATCGATACAATAGAAAAAAAGCTTAATGTATCTTCAAAAAATTTTGTACCGTTTACCAAAACTCAACCTAGAGAGTTTCAAGCTTCAAAGATGACTAATAAGTATTCAAGGGGCTTTGTAATGCACGTGTCAGACAAGAGCTGGCAGTGACTGACAGTGATAGTGAAGAGGAGGTTGAAGATTCATCCATGGTCGTGGGCACGCGATTTTCTTGTGATGAATTCTATATGAGCGATGATTCTGAAGATAAAATTCCTCTTGGAATCCCATGTTTGACGAATAAAGTGGGATTAGTGGAAGGAGCGCTCTCCGAGTTAATTCATGACCTTCAGTTCAGTGTTAAGGAGGAAGTGAGGAACCAAATATTGACATTGGAAAAAGATTTAGTGTATCCATGGTGTTTGTAGAATGTCCTCTAAGAAGAATACAATGTGAACTCGTGTCACTTTTTTGTGCTTCTGTCACTTTTTAAAGTTTGTCACTTTTTTTTTTTTAAATTGGCATGAGAGGGTTCTAAATGAAAGGAGTCTTTAAATAAGTATCTCATTGGAAAGAAAAAAATCCTCAAAAATCTTTTGTCTTACACAAATCAGTATACTACGACCTTTTTTTAAGTTTGTCACTTTTTTATATTTATTTTCGCCAATAAATCCATTGACGTTCATGAAGAAAGTGGGATGTTTTGGAAGTGTTACGAAGATGCTTAACTTAGACTTTTAGAAAAGTGACAAGGTATTTTATCATGCCTCAACGGGACAAATAATAACTCAATTATGTTACACCAACTTGAAAATTGTCAATTTGTCACTTTTTTGAATTTATATCACTTTTTTTAGTGTTCGTCACTTTTTATTAAATTTTTATCACTTTTTTAATGTTTGTTACTTTTTTTGTCAATTCTTTGAAAGTTCTATCACTTTTTTGAGTGACAAAAATCATTTTTTTTTTAATAAAAGTGACATTGTATGTCATTTTTAATAAAAAAGTGACATTTAACTTTAAAAAGTGACAGTGTGTCACTTTTTCAATGTCACTTTTTTTTTTATTGTGCCACTTTTTCTATTAAAAAAGTGACAATTAATTTTACACAATATTTTTTACTTCCAAAATATGTTTCATATGATTTTTCAAAACACTCTTAATTTTAAGGGTATTTTTGTAAGTTCCCCTTTTTAAAAACCAATTTGCTTCTGGGTTGGGGCAGGGCTGGGCTCTCCATCCGCCCATGCAAGCACCCGACTTCCTCAACATCACAAAAATGACCTAGGTTATATCAGGAACTAGCTTTGAAGTTTATTTGTTTACAAAAATAGAGCAATAATTAGGTTTTTTATTCCTATGCTTGAAGCTTGAAAAGTGATTTGCTTATTTAATGAAGATGGACAGTACTGATACTGATTTTAGTTTCCCTCTATCCCCATGGAAGAACTGATATCCGTATTATCGCCCTTGGTTAGATTTGGGGTGGAGCGGGGTGGTGTGGATTGAATTTGTTATCTTCTTGATAATTTTTCTTGAAGATATTTGTTAATATGGACCATGAAATGGATAAGTTGATGAAAATAACCATAATTTCTGGAAAAGTTCATCATTTTCAAAGATTTTAGAGCTTGTTTGGGACGGATTAAAATTCAATTAAAATTGAAAATATAGCCGTTATTGGGTCTCAATCGTCTAATAAAAGTCAACTCCAACGGCTATATTTTCAATTTTAATCTGATTTTAATCCCTCCCAAACAAGCTCTTAATATGCAGTCGAGCAGTAAAAGTAACATGATATGAGTCTAACATTTCATTACTAAAAAAGCAAATGTTATATTGTATAGGACATTGTATTTCAAGGACAATTTGACAACGATATCCTCATGCTAGTTGAAAATACTGGTTGTATAATATATGGTTGCTATCGAAACTTAATGTTGTATAAGTTCCCTAACAATGTACGTAATCGGTTATCAGAAAACATAAAAGAAAACAATTTAGACTAGCATATGAGAAATTGTCCTCATAGTTAACTTCTCTATTTTTTCAATATTATCTCTTGCAAATTTTTTTTGTTATTTTTATTTTTTTTTCCTTATAAAATAACCAAAAAAATGGGCGATTAAATGTTTATATCTGTTTTTTCATTATAAATAGCCTAAAGTTTGGTGCATTTCTATGACCTTGTCCCCTTTTTTTTGATTTTGACTCTTTGAGTATCAATTCTTTCTCATACTCATATTCAACCACTTATTTTAAAAAAAAATCATTTTTCACATTTCCCTGCTTTTTAACTGCATATTCATAGAAAAACACTTTACAAAGAATCACTCTCAATAAATCTTTATGTGACAAGCACCTAAACTGCTCCTTTGATCAAAATCTCTACATTGGACTTGATGATCTTATAGATATTATAAACCACAACTATGTGTTTCTCTCATTTACTGCAGCTTTTTTTTTTTAAAATCAAAATTTCTGCATTTTTTCCGAATTTCACTAGTCTCTCTTAATAATATTTTTACTTTCCAGCTATACTATAGTTTGTATTGAACGTAATTCTACCCTTTTTAACTAGAATCACCAAGAAGTATTAACATTCATGTACACCAAAATTCTATTCAAATTTTAGATTTTAGGGAACTATCTTGGCCTGGGCATTGGGTGGAGAGATATACTTGGAACTACCCATTATATTTTAAGTATTTCATAAATAGAATCATTCAGGTCCACGTAATTATTGGGACCAAACCGACATGAAATCGTCAATTTCAATTTAAGTTTGATTCTACCTATAACATTTTCTAAATAAATCTTGAGCTGACAGTACAACTTATTTTTCCAATATCTAGGAGAAATAAAATATATCACAAAATGCATATTTCAACACTTTCTTAATCCAGTCCACATATGTCACCAAATAATGTACAATACCTAGCATAATGACATTCAATTCCGGTTGTGGTTCTATGTGCAATGCCTCAAGAAAGGTTTGTAAAACAGACGTGTAAAGTGTGGTTAGAATTGAATATGAACGAAATCGATATTATTTAATTATTCACATGAATGAATCTAATTGATTAGGTACCTATTACTTAGGCCTAACACTAGTTGAGCCTTGCAAACTTGTACTTGTTGGGATGAGTCATTGGTTTAGGTTGAATAAATTTAAAAAAAAAAAAAGATGACATTTGATTATAGAATCTAGTACCCCACGGTTTCGATTTAAGAGTCAAGAACCAACCCGAATCTGGTAAAGTTGTGTACGTGAGAGTACGTGTGTATTATGATCAATAAATAAATGTTAAACTTCAAAATCTATCAAATTCATACATAAAATTATAGCAGATTAACTGACACTAAAAGTTAATGATTATTTTCTAAAGTTTATGTCTTATTTTTTCATTGTATTTTAATTTTTGTCAATTTTTAACTTTACATCTTGTAAGAAAAATTATTACATATTTATATAACTGGGAGATGTAGTGAATACTTAATTTGGTTTGTGTTTCTCAATTAACATGATTGATAAGGCCCTAATTACCAATTGTTGATCTTCTCTATTCTTTATTAAGTTTTTGTGCCTAGTAATGTTTAAGAAAAATTGCATTATTGGACCACAATCTATTGTTCGAGCTGCAAGTTTGTAGACAACTCTTAAAGAGGAGCAAGTCCTCTTTTGTCATATTTGTACAATAGGTCCCCAATGACCGAAACCGTCATCTGACACTTCAAATTCTTAGCCTCTCGCCCAAGTTTTAGATTTATAAAGTCATGTAATGGCCACATCATGATTTAAGTGGACGATTAGTGTCATAGGAAAAAAGATGACGCACTATAACGAAAAATCGAGGACAAATTAACTCATTAGCTTACAGACCAACTTTCAAAGAATTGAGTTGGGGACAAATGATGCAATTTTTCCTCATACATACATGTAAGTGTGGGTAATATGTAGAGTTTTTTTTCTAGATATTAGGCAGTATATGTCATTCAGATTGAAAGCATATAAAATAGTTCTTATCTTGAAAAATTTTGTTAGCTGGCAGTATATGTTGTTCCTTGAAAGCATATGCAATTGTTCTTTATCTTGAATATTTCAGTTCTTGTAATTACATTTTATTTACTTGATGCTATTTTTTTAAAACGGGTTTCATTTTTTTATTTTTTTCATTGTGTTTCACGGAGCACATTAACGCGTGCTAATAAACTATGGGGCTCAACAAAATTATCTACTTGTATGGGAGAATAAAAGTTTCAATTACAAACACTTCGTGCTTTCTCTAATTATCTCTAACAAAACAAATACAGACCTTTATATATTTTCTCTGTATTTTTCTCTCTCATAGTCCTTTTTCACTCCTTTAGCATTTGTGTTATGTCATTCACTAGTTACATTTTATAGCACTTGATATTTGTCAAAAGTAAGTTTTAGCTAATATTTTAGCTGAGTTACTTATCGATAACACCACCGACAAGTATTCCATCCTAAGTGTAGAGTTACTTGTGTTAAGAATCAAATTTAGGCAATCCTTTATTTGCTCCTTTACAAGAATTCCTTTCTTAAGAGAAATGTCTTTGTCTAAGTGGGGTAGGAAAGGCATTATACCTCTTTTACTGATCCTCTTCGGAGGGAAAGAGGAGGAACGGTATGTCTTAATCCAATCCTCCCTTGGTAAGGAAAGGTGGGGAGAAAAAGAAACATTCTTATCAAAAGTCAAAGAAGCTTGCTTACCACTCCCCTTTCTAAACCGTTGCTAGGAGTCTCATCCTCTTGATTTGGCAAAGAATTCAATGGTAGTAACGTACAATTGCAGAAGAGACCAATAGAAATGGTTCAGTTTCCGAAGAAATCACGAATATAATACCCAAATATTATAGGTTATGGGTTGGCTCGACATTTATAATTCTGTTTGAGTCATCGTGATAGAGACTAAGTCCTTATAGATTTCTCTTTCTGAGCCATAAACTAATCATGGGAATAATGTAAAGGTATTCCCGATGAACCTTTAGCAAGTTTGTTGAATACTTGTACTAAGATTGTAAGCTAATTTAGCGAAAAGTTTAAGAGTTGTTCTCTTCGTGTTTGAGTTTTCAGTTTTGAATTTATTTGGGATTGTGTTTTGAGTGTCTATTTTGAAATTGTTGAAAATTTGTTTTTTCTCATTTTGAAAAATTATTTTTGAAAATAAAAAAAAATGAAAACTTGTTCTCTGTCTCTCTCTCTCTTCATTTCATCACCGTCTTCTCTCTTTGGCGCCCCTACAATTGCCGACGCTCCTGGCGACCTACTCTTTCGGCGATCTCCTTACAACGCTGTTACTCTGTGCTTCTTTGTCTTTTTTTTTTTTTATTCGGTGGTTTATTTGGATGCAGTGGTGGTGTACGATTTGCAAATTGTGGTTACGGATGTGGTAATTCTGCAGCGATTTTGGCGGTTTTGTGGTGGTGGATCGGCGATTTTTGTGGTGGATGGTGGCTGTGGTGGTGGCGAATCTGGCGGTAGTGTGGTGCAGGAGACGGTGGTGGTGGGGTGATGTTGCGGCGGCGACGGTAGTGTGGTGCAGGTGGCATTGGTGGTGGTTGGGGGTGATGTTAAACTAAAAACATCCAAAATGCGTTTTGAAAATTTTGGTTTGGTTTTAACTGAAAACACCCAAAACGACATTTTTTTCGTTTTCGATTTTCTTTGTAAATTTTAAACTCGTTTTCGGAAATACATTTTTGAAAATAGGCAAATAAACGCGTTTTCACTATTTTGAAAAATTGAAAATAGAAATCGGGTTGAAAACGGCAAAGAGAACAACCCCTTATAGTTTTATGTTTTTTGTTTTTCAGGTTCAAGAACTTCATTCTAGATTTTTTAACCAATGATAAGAAGCAACTTGGGAGTGTTGTCGGTCACTAACTGAGCTGAAAGGTGATCTTAACACCACGGGTTGGTTAGATCATTTCAATTGTGACTTCACTTCACTTTGTTTAGTCAATTCTTCACAGTTTCTCGTGATATGCCAATTCTTGTTACAATAGAAACACCCAACGTTCCTCCAAGAACATGATCGAGCACGATCACTCTTCCTCTCATAAGTTTTTCCTTGCAATGCACTTCTGCCAGGTCTTGTTTCAGTTTTTGCCAAAAGAATGTATAATGAAGTGTAGCACCTGCCTTCTTGGTATTGGTCGTTTTCTCTTAGAAAACAGCAGGGACCTTATTCATTGTCAAAGTGAATTTTCCAACTAGTAGCATATTTTCTATAGTCATGACTTGGACAAGAAACACATCAAAATTATTGCTTTATCTTCACCCTCATTCTTGATATCTAAGCATAATTATTAATTGTTTTCCCAACAGCAGCCCCTCTTCAATCTTTAACTCATGCAATTGGTTTATTAAATACATTCTGTTTGTTAGGGAATTGGACAGATAACGTTTCTAATGTTTTCCGTAGTTTAAAAAGAGGTGATTTAGAATGCTGGATTATATCTCAAGAGCAATGACCGATCTGAAGGTATGTACTTATTGTATTTGCTTCCATTTCTACCAATTCTGCATCTTTCAGCCCTTATGTATGTTAACTTGCAATACTTTAGGAGCTCTTGTTGCACTAAGACGTCTTTAACAAAATGCTCGCCTCAAACTTTGAACTTGCCGTCACCTTAATGATTGCGAGTTTTGGATTATCAACTTTGATACCATTTGATGGGAAAACACCACATGATAACAAAAGCAAATAGGAGAGAAAAACTCAAATTTACATTTTTTCGGCAATACCTACCACCACCATGAGAGAGAGAGAGAGAGAGTTAAATTACTAATCAAATCTTCCAATACAAACTCTTTTCACTCTCTCAACTTCTCGAGTCTAAACACAATGCATGTCCATATTCACTCTCCCTATTTTACTCGTTCGTCCCATCCCTTTTCTTTCCTTTTTCTCTCTCTCTCTCTCTCTCTGTGTGTGTGTCATTCACTAATTGTGTGTTCATCACCTTATAAGCACAAATCCATATTTGTAGAATATAAGTTTATTTTTCTTTTCTTTCTTTTGTTAACTTTTTTTGTACATGGTAAGATTTTCTTCCGTTTAACACTTTGCACAACGATTTTCCTCTTTTTCCTTATTTTTTCTTCCACATTATATATATATTTTTTATTTTTATTTTGCTCATGCACCCGATGTTCATCCTTTTTCTATGTTCATCCTTTTTCTTTCTTAAAGAAAATCGAAACAAAATAATGGAAATTGTATCCTTCAGTGTGAATCATGAATAGAGAATCTCAAGCTAGAGTTCCGAGATTTTGACAAATAATGATAATAGAAATTTTAAAATTTAAGCCACTTCTGAGAAAAAGAGCATTGTAAGCAAATGGAGATGCCATTGACCCTTGGCCCTTGCTCCTCCTTATGGATAATAATATATTGTGTTTTATGAGTATTATTTCTTATAAAATCCATTTAATTCTGTTCCATTGTATAATACAAGAAAAATGGCTTTGACATTCCTCATCTGTGTTTTCTGAATAAATACCAATTTGGGGTAACTTCATTCATCGAAGTGAAATCTACATTAAGATGATGTTTTGCCTTTCAAAATTCAACTAGATAGAAATAGAATTTGGTGCCTTATTGTGCACAAGGGTGGGTGTTTGCTGAGTGCTTGTTGGCACTTAAATTATGGGCTTGTCTTGCTGCGATGTAGCATTTGGGGTAACTTCAGAAGGGAAAAATGTAGATTAAGATTATGTTTGTCTTTCAAAATTCCACTAGATAGAAATGGTGCCTTATTGTGCACAAGGGTGGGGTGTTTGCTGAGTGCCTTATTTACCTTGATTCATATCAAAGCCTCAGTCGATAAGCAAAAATCTTTTCCTTTAAACTCTTCCAATCCAGAAGCATAATTAGGGAGAAGCGCTTGCAAGAACAATACTTACGCTATAGTAACTACTCATATTCATATGTCATTAGCTTAAATCAGCATGTGCCTTTCTGGAGAGCTTGTTTCTTGCCTCTATTGGGGCCTCCGCAGTCTCTCCTACTGAGAGAGACTCATTTTCCGGGACAATTGCAAGCACTTACTACATTGCCTCACACACCGCACCTGCATTTCCATGGGGCTTCTTCTTTTCAGGAATACGCTCCTAGGAGAGCTCATCCTAGAATGCGGAGTAAAATATGCCTTTGGATAGTTTATAGTGTACTTTTTACTAGCATGCATGAACAACCTACAATTGAAAGCGAAAGTAGACCTAATAACCAAGCATATATGTGAGAGAGGGAGAAAAATGGTGGGAGGATATGAGGGAATTCAACTATCAAAGTGGAAAGGTAGGAACCAGTTATGATTACAATCAATGTAAATCCTTATACAAAGAACCTTTCTTACTTTGATGACTTAGCTTGCTTTCATGAGATCTAAGATTGCTGGAAACCCATTTAAACTCTTAAAAAGAAGCAATTTTAAATTGTTTTCTAGTTCATTGTGAATGATATAAGAGTCCGTTTGATAGTCAAAGGTGGAGAGTAATTTCAATTTCACGTTAGTTGGAAAATAAAAACCCACCAAATCCATAGGAATTCATTTTTCATGAAAATAAAGAAAATGCAGTTTAAAATTGATGTACTTTAGAATAATATTTTCATTTTCACGTTGCAATCAAACGGTTAAAGTAGAATTTGTTTTTCTCGAATATGACATTTTTCATGGAATTCGTTGCAATCAAAGCCCTAAGTGTCTTTCAATTTACCTGAACATGCTTCCTGTTGAAGTCAGTATAAGTTTTTGTTTGGAATAAGACTTGCATCTTTGGAGTTGTTTCCTGCAGGGCTTAGAGTTTTCTTTCATAAAATGGTTGAAATTTGGTTCTCAATCTCTTTCAATATTCTCACTCCATGTATTAGTTTACTTATTAATTTGGCCTCCATTTGCCTAATTTCTAAATAATTTATAAAAGTGGAATAGTGGTGACTCACATGAAATGTATGGATAATAAGAGAAATTGGAGCAGATGGTTGCAAACCTCTGTCTATCTTGGCGTTTTGGTCCCAAACCTTTAAATCGTAGCAATGACTTCGCAAACATTTGCATTTTTTGACACAATTGGTGCTTTTGGGTGGATTCCGTCCAAAAGGACAATTAGTTTTGTGCCTGAAATGCACTTTCTTTCAAAGATAAATTGCATATGTAGTCTTGATAACAATTAACTAAATTGTTTATGATGAAGTATGTGCAAGTCAATATAAAATCTGTAATTATTAAGTTTTGCATCTTGTGCAGATTATTTCCTTCTTAGGCTTTTCTTTGAGAGAGTATGCCGAATTTCATGTACTTTCATTCCAATAAGGCTCGAGGAATATTTTGGTTCCAACGATGGCTTTCACCAGTTTCATAATCGGAGGCATTCCACTGGTTACTCACGGTCGAAATTCATAGTAATAGTGGTTCAACTGGCTGTGCATCGTTATGTATTATATCTTTTATCGAAATTACATTTCATGCACTTCATTTAGAAGTTGTAACACTCGAGTTGCTTGACCATATTTAGTCCATGTTTGGTCCCATTTCTTTAAATTAGTTTTTTTTTCCTTAAATTCACTTTTAACCACACATTTTAAACTTTTAAAGAAATTTACTAAAAATCTAATATTCATTCAAACCAAATAATGAGTTATTTATTTAAATTTAATTTCAATGGCTTCATGTGTAGACCAAAATTATATTTTGTAATCAAAGATTTGACACTTGCATCATTTTTATCTTAAACCTAAACACGTAAAAATTTTAACAATCCTGCTCTGGTGCCAGAGAGGGTCCTTGACTGACCCCTCACAATAGGAGGGGACAGAAATTTTTTGACCCTCATGTGAGTATCTGTCAGTAAGGGTGACATTTTATTTCTGACAAAGAAATTTAATTGAAAATTTAATTCCATGCTTTGCAGATCTCCAAAAGCCCTAACTGTTGTAGAGAGAGAGATGTCATACTTTTTGGAAATGTAATATAAGCTAGTATTGCCTAGCATACCTTCAAAGAGCTCAACAATTTCAAGTTGCCCACTCAATCTTGATAAAAAGTAATTTTCAAAATATTCAACAACACGCGTGTAAATTATCCATTGAAAGATTACTATAGCCAGAACAAACGTATTGAAAAGAAACCTGAGCTTAGGTCCAAGAAAAAATGAAAAAGAAAAAGAAAGATTGAGGTCCAATCTACAGAGTAGGTTCGGTAAATTCCAATTCCTAAAATTTCTCCTTTTAATTCTTACTTACACCATGTTTTCCAACCTAGTTTATCTTCCTTTACTTCTCTCATTTTTATCTTCTTTGTCTTCACTCACTTTTTGTTTAATAATTTTGCGCTCTCTTGTTTTTATACAAAAGACGATGAACGGTTGTACTTGTTTCACACTTTACATTTTTTATTTAAATTGTCCGAACATTCGAATTACAAGATTGGCATGCGCAAATGAGTCATCTTACGGAAAGCATATAAAGGATAAAAAGGAAGAAGCAAAACTCGATAGAGTGATTATAAAGTTAGATAAGTTTGAAAAGAATATAAAGTAGAGAAACAATACGACTCATAAAGTCTTTTAAACTAAGAATTTTGAGTGCAACATAAGTCAATGAAATCTTATAATATTGAAAACCGGTACAACCACGAACTTGGTGAAATGGAACCAAAAACTTAGACTGATATTATAGATAAAAAAAAATATGTTACAAGAATGGATAGTTGGGAGATGTGTGTCAATCTCTTGTCAAATGACTATTTATATAGATAACCATAGACTTCAAATGTTCATACGACACTTCACAATCAAAAGCATAAAGTAAAGAACGGAACATTACATAAAAATGACAATACAATATAAGAGACTACTTATGCATTGTTGTAAAAGCGTCCACACGAGAATGTATCTTTAACTTTCATGTTTCTCTTTCCCTGTGTCTAAAAAAGGATGTGACTCAGTTAGAGTCCTCTGAAGAGTAATCTCAAATTCTCGATCCATTTAGTTCATGTTGTATTTTAGCGTCAAGAAAAAGGACAAAACTTCGGACATTCAAAATATATAATTACTTAAAACAAAAATGTTTACAAAATTCCGTTGTAGTCTAGTTGGTTAGGATACTCGGCTCTCACCCGAGAGACCCGGGTTCAAGTCCCGGCAACGGAATTTCTTTTTCAATTTTTTGGCCTTTTTGGTATTCGATTAAATCGAAATTCGGTTCATTTTTTCACCAATTATTTATGGGTTCATCCCGTTCTTGTCAGTCCACACCATATTCACAATCAATTCACCCCACCCCATTTTTTGGTGGCAAAGAATCATTGAGCAGCTCAAATTTGTCTGCTCCAGCGCCAGCCTCTGCAGAGATTCGGTTGCAGTATTTTGCTGCACACACCCACACAATGAGAGTGTAGAGGCTTTTCTTATAGTTTTCAATTTTGTCTATGCACATTTAAGTTTTTGCATGTTGGTATATCTTGTGCTTAATCGTTTTCTTCTCGTTTTGTTTTCTGTTTACCTTTTTTCTGGAACTGTTTTGATCAAGAATAAACAACCACATTTTTGGAAAAAAAAAATTGGTGTTTTATGTTCTTGATAGTATTAATTTATTCTGAATTGAATAACAAGGGGTGTGAAAAAGAAATATTTTTTTAGTAGAAAATTCAGAAGAAGTAAAAGAAAATTATGGGCTATAAAGATTTGGGCATAATCTTTGGGTAAAGGTTGTACCAGACTTCATAAATCTGTCCGAAATAGATGAAAATGCAAAAATAAGTCATTTTGTTGGTCTTGTTTGAGTGCTTTTACGGGAAAAAGTAGGAAAGACAATAGCGAATGCAATACCTTTTGGTCAGGAGATGAATGTGGGGACGGATGGTTTCATTCTTATTTTGCATTCCTAGGATATCTATACAGGTTAGAAATATTGGCACTTGTTTTTTGTGTTGAATATTGATTTCAAGAAAACTGTTTCGATATCTGAGAGGAATGTGTTGTGCTATAGCCAGAATCATGTGTAAAAGTTGATATATATATTGTGAGACTGCTTGGATTAGTTTTAATTTCTTCCCTTTTTATTTTACTTGCCGGTTAACAAGTTCAGAAACATTGACGCAATATAAATTTGTTTTATTCCATTTGAGATTCTTTTCTCCTTATATTAAAAGAACCTACTCGGGTCACAACCAAAGCAAATAAGTGTCAATTTGAGCTTCACCTGAGAAATATTGAGACTGACCCTGTGCAATCAAGACTTGGCTAGGCTTGGTTCATCTGCTGCCCTAGATAGAATTTGGTGCAGCCACTGCTCTTATTAGGACAGGGCAATGAATTGTAATCCACGACTCAACACTCTTCCAGCAATTGTTTCCCACTGTTCTCAGTGTTTAAGGCTGGGTGTTGTCCTGTTTGCATATTTGTTTTAGCTTCCCTCTATATGAATCTTTATCATTGTTTTTTAACTATTTGATTCACATGATTAAACCTGTAGAAGGATTGTATAAACTTATACTTGCACATGGTCTGTTTTTGAACTTCATTTGATCCTTTCCTATCTCCATATTTCCGTTCTTTCTATACTGGTTGCCAAACGTTGTGGATGAGCTGAATAGAATCTGAAAGTCTTTTGCACAACTGTCCCCTGATTAGTCCTCTCTCTATCCTCCACTTTTACATGTTTCTGCAAATTTTCGTTTACTGGATGTTGACCCTCTTTTCTATTTTTTTTTTTTAAAAAAAAAACTTGGTAAACTTATTTCTCCATTATTCATCATTCTCAATAGAAGACAAGATGAAATGCTCTGAATTTCTCTTATTTGATTTCCTTCTTATTTGTGTTTCTTTGTTTCCATCCTTGTCTGTTTTTGGATTACTTTTTCTTGGTTGGTGGGGAGTATTGAAAAAATAAAATGTGTCAGACATGGCATGCATCATTTTTTGAATGCATATATTGGTCGCACAGGATACATTGGAGATTACAGTTTAAAAGCAATGTGTTCCTGATTTCAGAGAACGGAATGTGGTTGTCTGCAATCCCAGCTTGGCAATACTTTTTTATTGCAGAGTGAAAGGAGGATATCTCCAACATTTGATCTTCTAAAATGCAATACACAGCAAGGTCTCATATCGCTTGATTCTTTGAAGGTACAATTTGTTCCCCCCATGCTTTGAGTACGCTAGTTTCTTGAAGCTCCAAGTTCAAATAATGGCCAGCTATATTCACACCAAATTTTTGCATGAGTGCACCACATTCTAATTGCATGAAAGGTCCGTGATCTTTTTACTCATTGTAAAATTTATGTCCGCAACTTTATTCATTACATTCTTATTTTTAATCTTCTATCAATTAGCACAACTCGTTCTAAATGATGATTTTCATCCAAATATTATGTTAAAAGAGGATAAAAGACTTATTTGCCTCTTGTATTTTTAAATAAGAAATAAAAACAAACATGAAAGTGCGACTGAATATTTGTTCCTTATTTTAAAGCTCGCTAACATTACAAAAACTATTTGTCAGAATGCTAACATTACAAAAACTATTTGTCGGCAAGAGTAATATTCCGAGGTTAACTGAAGTTTTAAGTTCGTAGAAATGGGTCTGAATGACTGTGCAGACACCAGATTTAAGGTTTCTGAATCGTAGATTTTTCTCCTATGTTCTATTTTGAAGAATTTCAATATTTTCAATCCACTTCGAGTACACTTATCTTCTGCCACAGTTGATTTCTTTCGTGCTTCATATGCCAATATTTAGGCTCCAATCAAGTTGACTATTAAATTTTGAGATTAATGTCTTTTACAGTCTCGATAAAATATTGGTTCTTAATAGTTGATAGTGCTAGAGATGTGTGTAGAGTGTATTTCAGAAATTATGGATGTAGTTCATATTTCCACTTGCAGCACAGTTTCAGTAATTTGGCAATTCAACTGAAGTTTGAAAGTCCATCAAGTCACTTGATTCAGTTCCGATCACTGTTATCAGATGCGATCATCCTCAAAATGCAGATTTTCCTTGCTATTATTCTAAAAAGAGAAGAACCTATTTCCTATACCCATAGTAGAGCTATGACGGGCTCCCCGAGAGAGGCTGAAAAATAGTAAGGTCCAAAAGAGAAGAGGTGTCCCTTCTCCAAAAAGAGGTTTGGTGGTTCAAAGGCTAATTCCTGTTGCATACAGGCCATTTGATGCAAGAGTAAACTTGATTAACAATCTCAAGAAGCTCTTGAAAGTGGTTCTGCATCATGCTTGTAAGTAAATCTCTACCCGATTTTATGTTACTTATTCACTCATGAGAGCTGCATAAACTTGGAAAAATTACTTGTCTTGATGTTTAACGGAACCGTGCTCGATAATTTTTTTGTCAAAACATATCCAGCAAGTAAAATTCAGGGCTTACTTTCTTTGATTCCACTGTGATATGGCGATAATGGGATGTCAGAAGAAGTTGTGAATCATTGTTATTAGATATATAACATGGTGAATCTGTGTGACTATTATGGTATATTTGGTAGGGAGATTGCTAGGGCTCAATAATATTAAGAAACTTGTTCATTATACAATAACAAACATGCACTTGATGTCTTTGGCTCCTCCCAATTCTTCTAAATATTTTGATCTCGAATGTTGCAACACTTGCAGTTGGTGTAATGAAATTCATGTTGGAACTGTTGGGCATCCTTTCAAGTCTTGTAGAGGATCAGGCACTTCAATTCGTAAAGGACTTCATGAGTGGGGGGATGCAGCTGTTGAAGACGTATTGGTACCAGCTGAGGCCTAACATCTGTGTGATCATCTGGGGAAACATATACGTCATGAGGAGAGATTTTCTATCCAAAGAATCGCAGCAGTAATGGAGCTCTTCATTCAGGCAGGAGTTAACTTGCCCGAATATCCTACAAAAAGAAGACGAAAACCAATCATTCGCATTGGAAAAAGTGAATTTATCAATGCAGATGAACGTGAATTACCAGATCCCGACCCAGATGCTCCAAAGCCATCAATATTAGCTGAAATACCTGACACTGAAATTTTACTACCCAGCAAAGAAGAAACAGCATTTCTTCCGAGGGAACACTTCAAGCATGGGAAGAAATGAGGCTTGGAGCCACCAGGCTGATGAAGACGTATCCAGTTAGAGCCTGTGGGATACTGTGCCAAAGTGCACGTGGGCCCCAGCAGTCACAAATAGCAGAACTGGGGCCCATAAGCATCAGCAGCGCAACGGGCAACATGGATGGCAGGCAACAGTTCTTAATGACTTGATTCCACCCCGATATGTTTGTCATGTTCCTGATATCAACAAGCCACTGCAAAGGGAGCTCAGGAACTTCTACGGACTGCTGCAGTGGCGGATCGAGCACCCGGCAAGCACCGGCTGCCACGCGTGCTGGATTCGCTTGAACAATTTTTTTTTGGAATAGATAATTTTTTTAGCTTATATATCTTATAATTTATTTTGTTTCAAACATATCTTATACCTCAGTTGGTTAGTCTCCACATCCAAATTGAAAGTCCTGGGATTGAATATCTTCCAAATCAATCTATTGTGCAATTTTTCTAGTTCTACAATTTTTACATTGCAATTTTTCTAGTTCTACATTTTTTACCAAAACAAATCCAATAGGGAAAGGATTCAAACATGTGAGCCTTCCTTAAGATTCTAGTGGTTTTAATGCAAGTGGAAAGATTTGAACATGTGCTCTTCCTTTGAATTATACAAAATTTGGCCACTATATCATTTGGTGAATATTGTTGACTTATATAGCATAATTATATATGTTTAGTTTTAGCAAAATATTTGTAATATTTAATTTTTAATATTTTATTGCGCTCGACAATCAATGGTTATCCGTGCTTATTCAAAATCCTGAATCGCCCCGTTCGGGATGAGCCCCTGCTGTCGTAGAAATATGTGTGCATGCCGGTGCTGGTGTGCTCGCGCAGTACAAGCCAACAATGAGGTTGGATGTGGGGATTCCTACAAATGTTAGAGAAGCTGAAATGGTTGTTTAAAGGTGTTTCTTCTTCTTTCCCCTTTCGCTGATTATTTAAACGTGTTTTGGGTGTAGTAATCTTTGTTGGAATTTTGTGTTGGAAATTGGTTGTGACCAATTGAAATGATTTAAGTGGAAATTCCTTGTTTGGTGAATGAGAAATTAAGCCAAACTTAAACCACTTAATACTTGAAATTATTGGAATTGTGTAGAATATTGTGGAATATTCTAGA